GAGTGAGTGAGTGAGTGAGTGAATGAGCGAGTGAATGAGCGAGTGAGTATCGTCGATGGTGGTTGAAGTAACGTAAAGATAATCGTGCCCCTGTGAGTTAGTTAGTTAGTTAGTTAGTTAGTTGTATTATCACTGTGGGGGACACCAGAAATAGGCTTTAACACATTGAACCCATGTGGAGAATCGAACCCGGGTCATCGGCGCGATGAGCTAACGCTTTAACTACCCTACCACACCGTCCCCCTGAGAGGATGTGGTACACCATGTCATTCAATGTAGGTTTATTCGTAGACCTAGATTGACACCTCATAGTCTAGGCTGGTTTTGAAAAGCGAACTGATAGCAAAATTAATCCCTCCGTTCTTTTCCCTAAACTAGAGCTGATACATCGTGATTAAACATTGTTCAAAGGGGGTTTAGAATCCTACAGACTCCCTCACACACAGTCAAAGGCATAGATAAGTACTGTCGCCTTTGAAAGAGACAATTAGCTTCATATTCTTTTTAATAGCACTAGAATATACAACACAAACAACCATTAATCATTTTGGCGTCATGCATCGATCGATTGGCATCTCACATCTTCCCTGTTCAATACGTGTGTTGTGATAGTAAACCTCTTTCAAGCAGATAAAACCAATCACTTACAGCAAATATGCTTGTCTAATAAGAATAACAAACAGTTTAAACCGAAGTGAAACCTTTTCGTTTGTTTGTTGTTGAACGCCACACTCAATATTCCAGCTTTGCCGTCGTTATTAAAATTTGTTGCCTTAATATTGACACTGGTGCAACTTAATCAGCAATATATATGATGGCGGTCTGTAAATAATCGAGTCTGGACAAGACAGTCAGTGATTGACATCATGAGCATTGATCCACGCAGTTTGGATACGATGTTATGCATCAACCAAGTCAGTGAGCCTGACCACCCGATCCCGTTAGTCGCCTCTTACCACAAACATAGTCACCTCTTCCGGCAAGCATGGGTTGCTGAAGTCCTATACGAACCCGGATCTTCACTGGCTCTGTCGTGTTCCAGCTGTGTGTTTTGTCTGAAATAATCCCCTGTTCCACTGTCTCATAACTGGCTGTCAGACAAATGGGAGATAACTCTTGACTAGGATGTGTGGCAGTATAACCGGTGGGTGCGGGAGTATTTTTTCAGCAATATTCCAGCAATGGCTCGTTGGCCATCGAGTCTAATCGAGTCTGGATCAAACAAACCATTGACTGAAACAATAATGATGATATCAGGTGTTCGCGAAAAGGTTAGCATGCCCTACCCCACTGGTGGCACGCGTCACAAACACACGCAAGGGCAAGTCAATTGTTCACTTGAAAAAAACACAGGAACATCTGGTACAAGTCAAAAAAGGGAATTTCATAAGGCATTATATTTGTCACTGATGCGTCACTTTTGGAAATGTCATCAACATACCTACGATAAAAACTTTGTGAGAGCTTAACTGAGGCCTTGAATGTTGTAAGCTTTGATCAAACAACTTTTGAAAAAGAGTTGTGCGATGCGATGCTCTGTGAAATCTTGGTAGATAGAGCATGCTCGATTGTACCGAAAAATGTGAAATGTAGACACCAAAGGCTGGAGCTGCGGGAATATTGCTCGACATAAAGGGAAAGTTGACTGTTGGAAAGTTAAAGACGTCTCTCTTGTCATACAGTCTTGTGGAGAGTGTCTCAATTTCCTATGCATAGATCTAAATATGAAAAAGAAGGGGCGGTCTCAATGGTCACCTCTATTTCGTGTTCTGGTGTCTCAATCAGTGGATGGGAATTGATTTATAGATGAGTTTTCAACGACATCAGATCTGATGTAAAACCTATTGGCCTTGTTTTGACTTTGCCAATCCGAGAAGAAATTCTGATCATATGCATAAAGAAACAATTCAGCAAGAAGGGGAGCACAATTGGTGCCCATGGGGATGCCTACTTCTTGCCAATATATTTTACCCCAAATTTTACACGGATGTTATTAACGAGGAAGTCAACGATTTCACATATTGTTTTCTCAGTAAACTTCACATAACATTTGTGCTCAGTTTTGACAAATTGTCCTGAACCTCTGGAGACATACAGATATGTAAATGGTCACCACGTTTAAAAACAAAAGCCCCATTGACCAAGGAATGACGTTCTGTAATAAGTTTATCATGAAGGACAGTGGTGTACAAAATTGAAACTAATCATGCAATCTGTACTACGGGATGTACTTTAGGCCTGTGACCTTTGACCTTTCAGTATATGTGTAAATATCGATTAACTGAAATTGTCAACTGGACAAGAGTGCGAAATCGGCACATCCGGAAGCGCTCGTTAAATCCCCAACATCATCATCGTCATCATCAACTGTACAAGAACCCAAACTTCATCATTTACCCCAACATTCGTGGTAATGCTTTCAGTCAAAACCTGCTTTGGTCAATATATCAATTTGTACCGACGTAACATGCAATAAAAACACCAAGTTCCTCCAACGTGTTAAGGCGATATCCTGCAGTCCTCATCTCAATATGAAATCATCACAAGATAGGCTTGCGGTTCCATTTCCAATTGCATTGGACAAGGTTCATCTTATTTCATTAACCAGTTCTGAGATTAGTAAAATGTTCTATTTAGAGCGTGTTGGTGCATCGGTAACTTAATATTGGACAACTGACATTTTCCCAGAACCAGTTTATAATTGTGTTTTTCTTGTTTCAATAATCTTCATCTCATTAGATTGATTGGGGAACCTTAATCAATAATCGAAACTGGAAATTGAACACGTAGTACCGCTTACAGCCTTATGTTCAACACTGGCTTCACTGCTGAATGGTCTTGTTGGTAACAGGTGGAATACTTGTTGTTTTATAATCTCGCATCCTTAAAAGAACGAACTGTGAGGTGAGGTGAGGTGAGGTGAGGTGAGGTGAGGTGAGGTGAGGTGAGCCGAAGTGAGGTGAAATTGGGTTTAACGTCGCGTCCAAGATTATTGCACTTATATAGCGACGTGCATGTACATGTGTGTTTGTGTGGCTGCTTGTACTAGTCCGGACTGATGCCGATTTATAGAGCTAGCCCACTGAGATACCATGCCGCAGTTTAACATGAATACCCCACTCAGACACAGTATACTGACTCCGAGCCGACCAGTCCTTGTTTTAGCCCCTTAATGTCGAGCGCCAGACAGGGTAACAACAAGTACCATCGTTTAACGTCTTTTGGTATGACGCGGCCGGGGATCGAACCCCGGACCTTCCGCTCTCCGGGCGGACGCTCTACCACTAGACCACGGAGGCGGTACAAACTGTGAGGACTCTTAAATACAATATGTATCCAGTACCACATTACTCAATGTAGGGGAAAAAAGATTTTTTTGTGAACAAACATAAGAGGGATCACATGGGTGCCCTTTGACCTTAGACCCTTGAGTCCCTTGGTAGTGCCTACCCGTGAAGATCCGGGGTAGAATAGGTCTTCAGCAACACATGCTTAAAAGTCGTAAAAGGTGACTATGCTTGTCGTAAGAGGCGACTGACGGGATCGGGTGGTCAGGCTCGCTGACTTGGTTGAAGCATGTCATCGTATCCCAATTGCGTGGATCGATGCTCATGATATCAATCTCTAGATTATCTGGTCCAGACTCGATTATTAACAGGTCGCCGACATATAGCTGAAATATTGCTGAGTGCGGCGTAAAACAACAAACCAACCAACCAATCTTGGTAGTGCCAGGATTTGCTGGACGTAGGGCTTTGATCTTTCATCATGAGACTAGTTTGCTAAAGCTGGGCAATGTCACAGCAAAACGCCTCACTTACCCAGTATATAAGGGGATATGCTTGGCCCGGTGGTCTAGGGTGCTGTAACCCATCACCCACCATCCAGTATCGACCCGTGAAGATCCGGGGTAAAATAGGTCTTCAGCAACCCAGCAACGGACTTGCTGACTTGGTTGATGCCATTCGTGACCAACTCGTGTTATTCCGGGACAAGCCGAATGGCGAATCGTGCCCCTCTCATGGCCAATTTTGCGACCGGGTTCCGTCTTAGCGCAAACGGGCAGACCTGAAACAATTGAATGTCATACAAATGTACACATGTACCAAGTTAACAAGTTTTACCTGGAAAAGAAGTGTTCCCTGGCATTAACACGGGGGAGGGAAGTGGGGATGGGGAAGTGGGGTTTGGGTAGTGGGGTTGGGGAAGTGGAGTTGGGGAAGTGGGGTTGGGGAAGTGGAGTTGGTGAAGTGGGGTTTTGGGAAGTGGAGTATGGGAAGCTTGGTTGGGGAAGTGGGGATGGGGAAGTTGGGTTGGGGAAGTGGAGTTGGGGAGGTGGAGTTGGGGAAGTGGGGTTGGGGAAGTGGAGATGGGGAAGTGGAGTTGGTGAAGTGGAGTTGGGGAAGTGGAGTTGGGGAAGCTGGGTTGGGGAAGTGGGGTTTGGGAAGTGGGGTTGGGGTAGTTGGGTTGGGGAAGTGGAGTTGAGGAAGTGGGGTTGGGGAAGTGGAGTTGGTGAAGTGGAGTTGGGGAAGTGGAGTTGGTGAAGTGGAGTTGGGGAAGTGGAGTTGGGGAAGTGGGGTTTTGGGAAGTGGAGTATGGGAAGCTTGGTTGGGGAAGTGGAGTTGGGGAAGTGGAGATGGGGAAGTGGGGTTGGGGAAGTGGAGATGGGGAAGTGGGGTTGGGGAGGTGGAGATGGGGAAGTGGGGATTGGGAAGTGGGGTTGGGGAGGTGGATATGGGGAAGTGGGGTTGGGGAAGTGGGGATTGGGAAGTGGGGTTGGGGAGGTGGAGATGGGGAAGTGGGATTGGGGAAGTGGAGATGGGGAAGTGGGGTTGGGGAAGTGGGGTTAGGGAAGTGGAGATGGGGAAGTGGGGTTGGGGAAGTGGAGATGGGGAAGTGGGGTTGGGGAAGTGGGGATTGGGAAGTGGGGTTGGGGAGGTGGAGATGGGGAAGTGGGATTGGGGAAGTGGAGATGGGGAAGTGGGGTTGGGGAAGTGGGGTTAGGGAAGTGGAGATGGGGAAGTGGGGTTGGGGAGGTGGAGATGGGGAAGTGGGGTTGGGGAAGTGGGGATTGGGAAGTGGGGTTTGGGAAGTTGGGTTGGGGAAGTGGAGATGGGGAAGTGGGGATGGGGAAGTGGGGTTGGGGAAGTGGAGATGGGGAAGTGGAGATGGGGAAGTGGGGTTGGGGAAGTGGGGATGGGGAAGTGGGGTTGGGGAGGTGGAGATGGGGAAGTGGGGTTGGGGAAGTGGGGATGGGGAAGTGGGGTTGGGGAGGTGGAGATGGGGAAGTGGGGATTGGGAAGTGGGGTTTGGGAAGTTTGGTTGGGGACGTGGAGTTGAGGAAGTGGGGTTGGGGAAGTGGAGTTGGGGAAGTGGGGTTGGGGAAGTGGAGTTGGGGAAGTGGGGTTGGGGAAGTGGAGATGGGGAAGTGGAGTTGGGGAAGTGGGGTTGGGGAAGTGGAGATGGGGAAGTGGGGTTGGGGAGGTGGAGATGGGGAAGTGGGGTTGGGGAAGTGGGGTTGGGGAAGTGGAGATGGGGAAGTGGGGTTGGGGAGGTGGAGATGGGGAAGTGGGGTTGGGGAAGTGGAGATGGGGAAGTGGGGTTGGGGAAGTGGAGATGGGGAAGTGGAGATGGGGAAGTGGAGTTGGGGAAGTGGGGTTGGGGAAGTGGGGATGGGGAAGTGGGGATGGGGAAGTGGGGTTGGGGAGGTGGAGATGGGGAAGTGGGGATTGGGAAGTGGGGTTTGGGAAGTTGGGTTGGGGACGTGGAGTTGGGGAAGTGGAGTTGGGGAAGTGGAGTTGGGGAAGTGGAGTTGGGGAAGTGGGGATGGGCAAGTGGGGTTGGGGAAGTGGAGTTCGGGAAGTGGGAAGTGGGTTTGGGGTAGTGGGGTTGGGCAAGTTGGGTTGGGGACGTGAAGTTGAGGAAGTGGGGTTGGGGAAGTGGAGTTGGGGAAGTGGGGTTGGGGAAGTGGAGTTGGGGAAGTGGAGTTGGGGAAGTGGAGTTGGGGAAGTGGAGTTGGGGAAGTGGGGTTGGGGAAGTGGAGTTCGGGAAGTGGGAAGTGGGGATGGGGAAGTGGGGATGGGGAAGTGGGGATGGGGAAGTGGCGTTGGGGAAGTGGGGATGGGGAAGTGGGGATGGGGAAGTGGAGATGGGGAAGTGGGGTTGGGGAAGTGGAGCTGGGGAAGTGGGGATGGGCAAGTGGGGTTGGGGAAGTGGAGTTCGGGAAGTGGGAAGTGGGGATGGGGAAGTGGGGTTGGGGAAGTGGGGATGGGGAAGTGGAGTTGGGGAAGTGGAGTTGGGGAAGTGGAGTTGGGGAAGTGGGGTTGGGGAAGTGGGGATGGGGAAGTGGAGTTGGGGAAGTGGGAAGTGGGGAAGTGGGAAGTGGGGTTGGGGAAGTGGAGTTGGGGAAGTGGGGATGGGGAAGTGGGGATGGGGAAGTGGGGTTTTGGGAAGTGGGGTTGGGGAAGTGGGAAGTGGGGATGGGGAAGTGGGGATGGGGAAGTGGGGTTGGGGAAGTGGGGTTTGGGAATAGTGTGTTTTGGTGTTGACGTTTGTATCAATAGGTAACGCAAGTCAAGTATTGCTGATTTCATCGGTTCTGTCAATCACGAAATAGAACGTAATTTAGACAGCTGTTTTTGGCGTTGTAACATTTTCTCTCAAGTTCTCAATAATTCCTACAAATAAGCATAAATCGATTTCTTAATCATACACTCAGTAGATACATTTCCTGTCTAGTCATAGAAATATATTTCTTACAAATAAGCAGTTAGAATCGATTTCCTTCATCAAACTACATGTTTTGAAGTGTGTGTGTTTGTAGCATATCCATGGCGCCTTGTAGCATATCCACTCCTGTGTCTGTATTGTCCTGCTGCGTGTGTACTAGTGGCTGATCAATAGCTCTCAGAATATATCTGGTATCATTTCATACTGGGGTATATAATTTCACCATTGGTATCATTACACGGCTCGAACAATCTAGACAAACTAAACTTTCGTGCATACATGTTTGATATGGTATACATGTAAACGACACTTAATTCAATACCCAGGGGGCACAGCACGCCAGAAACCTATGATTGTGGGTTAAAATCCCGGTTTGCCCCGATTATGTTTCTAGGTTTGTCAGCACCATGCCTGTTCTTGTGGGTTTCACCGAAGTGGTAAACGTCCGAGACCTGCATCACTTCGGGCTTTCCTCCCACATTTAACTGACACGTCGTGATATAACTGGAATACTGTTAAAAGCGGCGTGAAACCCAACTCACTCACTCACTCAAAAATTCAATACCCAGTCTCCCTGGCGGCGATTTAAACGCAACAAGTAGAAAAATAATACAATAATTCATCAAACAGGCAACTACATGTGAATACACATGATGAGACATTTGAAATTTGTGTAAAATATCACACTTTTAAAAATGATTATTTATATAATTAATACCCAGTAAATACATATTTCTCAAAATAGTATTCATTATTCTTATTTCCCGTGCATGCATTCTTGAACCCCCCCCCGTCTTTTGAAAAGGTAGTCATAACATTCTTTGTTATAGCAGCGAAGCGAAAACATGAAGTTTCAGGATTTTACGAAAAGCTCCCCCAAATAGATGTCGATCATACACATTATTATTTTTTATTTTAATTTTCATAATAGTTATATCACTAAATCTAGAGCCAATTTTATGAATGTATTGATTCGTATTTCATTTGTTTTAAAATAACATGAGTAGGGATTTCTCAAGTTGCAATATTAAACCTACAATTACTAAACCACGACAGTATCAATGCCGAAAAATTATATGCCATCATTCTTGTAATCGTTTCCTTCAAATAATTGGCACCTTTCTTAAAACTGTGCAAGTTGCGATAAAGAGAGAGGTACGTGTTGTGTGTCGTTACCGGTTCCACTTATTGTATGCGCAGCAAGATATGCGCGTTTGCAGACAACTGTAGACAGGAGTCGAGTTAAAGATAATCGTACCTCCACCGTTGAAGATTTCAATCTTAGCTAAGATTGCGATCTTAACTCTAAGCCGTCTTACATTCGCTCTAAGATCGATCGGTTTGTGCAAGTGGAATAGGGCAATTGTATGCTGATTGTAAAGTTGATTGTAGCTGCCTTAGATGGATTGTAAATAAGATTGTTCTGTGCACGTGGGCCCTGCTCTACCAGTCGCATCCGCCATTCACAAGAATTGTCTAAAAATCGTAAGACAAGAAGATATTTCGTTAGATAATTTAATTTCGGTTTCTGTATTTTAACATGAGTATTTCACTTTGTAAACCAAAACATATGTATTTTGTGGAGATATCCCGCATGTTTTCTGAAATTATTCTGTTTATAATTCATGTATGCTGCTACATTATTGATCCCGTCCAGTATTTTCAATTTGAAAGCTTTGCAACCACAACAAGCACTCGAGCAACTTTCCCTTTGCTGAGAGATTATTTTCCCCCATTCATGTATTATTAGGACATTAGTTGCATGTCCAGTTCTAATCATTCTATTGTATAAACGAGTAAAAGATCGATCCGGTAACTATTCGAAGCCTATTTGGTTTCTAAAAGATCACAACCGCGAATCGGAATCTGAACAGGTTCGGTTGTGGAACTCGCGGTTGAATCTGCCAGAGCGTGCTAATATTTCGGGTTAATATTAAACTTCGTGGAAGCAATGATTAATGACGGCTAGATGAAATGAAAGGCGCTCTCGAGCTTATCTGAGACCCTTCAAGAGATCGTAAACAAGATTTGCTGCATCACATGTAACGACCAGCTGAGTTTAGGGAGTTTATACCACGGCAAGTGATCAATGTCTCTTATAACGTTGTATAAGCTCTTCAGCAACTCATGCTTGCCGTTAAAGGTGACTATGCTTGTCGTAAGAGACGACTAACGGGATCGGGTGGTCAGGCTTGCTGACTTGGTTGATGCATGTCATTGTATCCCAATTGCGTGGATCGATGCTCATGATGTCAATCACTGTATTGCCTGGTCCAGACTCGATTATTTACAGACCGCCGTCATATATTGCTGAGTGTGTCGTTAAACAACAAACAAACAAATATGACGTTGTCAGTTGCACAATCTAAGAAATTCAAGGGGGCCTCTGCAACAAATACTTCAACGTTATTATTAGTGGAACAGATGAAGTGCAACATATTGGTGAATCTATCAACTACTGATATAAGCATGAAATTTTACATCAACATCAAACGGGGTTCGAACCCACAATCATAGGTTTCCGGCGTGCCCAAGGGACGCAACTCTGCAGAGCGAACCGCGGCGCCTGAGACGACTGGGCCACCCGTGCCCCCCACCATAATTGGGAACATTACATAATAAAACTTGGCTCAACAAAAGAGCAAGCATTGATCTGTTCACTGAAAACGGTCATTATTTTTATAGATAAGACGTTATAGGCAATATTGCTACATCTGAAAGGAAACTTAGCAGCCATCTTGGTAAAATAGTGGCCATCTTGGCTTTTCGGTGTATGGCTAACGTGTTTTTCCAGTTTCCCCATGAAAATGTTTGTGCGAGGAGCATTTAAAGAATTATACCTGTTACATTCTCCACTATCGCTAGAATACATTCAAATGAAAAAGTAGCAAGTATAGGTGTCGCTGGAGGCCACAGACAACATTATCATTTTGCGCTATAATAAGAGGTTGAATTAGCTTCGTTTAACGCCGCTTTAAACCATATGTGATCTTCACATCAGAAGATAATGGAACAGTTTGTAGTCTTTAATGGCTTAAAGGCATACAAATAACTTATTGATAACTTATTATTACAGAAAGAAGAACACAGCTAAATTGAGCTAATATCACCAAACACCTTGAAGTCTGTTATATTCGACATTGGGGATTTAAACGATGTATAAGATGTATCGATTTTTATACTTGTGGAAGGATTTGGATGAGGTTTGTGTGGGCATTGCTCGAATGTCTGAATGAGGTTTGTATGGGGATTGCTCGAATGTAAGAAGGTTTGTGTGGGCATTGCTCAAATGTTAGAAGGTTTGTGTGGTGATTGCTCCAGGGTTTGAATGAGGTTTATGTGGGCATTGCTCGAATGTTAGAGGGTTTGTGTGGGGATTACTCCAGGGTTTGAATGAGGTTTGTGTGGGCATTGCTCGAATGTTAGAAGGTTTGTGTGGGGATTGCTCCAGGGTTTGAATGAGGTTTGTGTGGGCATTGCTCGAATGTTAGAGGGTTTGTGTGGGGATTGCTCAAGGGTTTGAATGAGGTTTGTGTGGGCATTGCTCGAATGTTAGAAGGTTTGTGTGGGTTTGGTTCGGGGGTTTGAATGAGGTTTGTGTGGGTTTGGTTCGGGGGTTTGAAAAGAGTTTGTGTGGGTTAGTTTGAGGGTTCCCTTGTGGTTTGTTTGTGATTTGTTCTTTGACGAAGTTTGTGTGGGGTTATTTCGAGGGTTGTATGAAGTTTGTGTGGGGTTATTTCGAGGGTTGTATGAAGTTTGTGTGGGGTTATTTCGAGGGTTGTATGAAGTTTGTGTTGGGTTAGTTCGAGGGTTGTATGAAGTTTGTGTGGGGTTAGTTCGAGGGTTGTATGAAGTTTGTGTGGGGTTAGTTCGAGGGTTGTATGAAGTTTGTGTGGGGTTATTTGGAGGGTTGTATGAAGTTTGTGTGGGGTTATTTGGAGGGTTGTATGAAGTTTGTGTGGGGTTATTTCGAGGGTTGTATGAAGTTTGTGTGGGGTTATTTGGAGGGTTGTATGAAGTTTGTGTGGGGTTAGTTCGAGGGTTGTACGAAGTTTGTGTGGGGTTTGTTCGAGGGTTTGTATGGGGGTCTGGATGAGGGTAATGGGAACTAGAAAAACATGAATTAAAATTCAAAATAATATTTTGTAGTTCACGTTATTATTGATATTCGTAGATTACAAACGGATTATATTAATTATTCCAATATACGATGATAACTAATCTTATGTTGTAAGCAATGAGCCACTCTGAATCTAGACCTGATTATAATAACTTCCCCCGGTCGGCTCGCATCCCCATCCTCATCCTGAAATGTACATCCTTTCCATTCGTTACGGTGTTTTATAATCTCGTTTAACTGCTATCCATGTAAAACTCGGATTCACAACGTATTATAATTAGGTGATTGGTAAGACGTTTCAGCTCATACTTTTGACAAAACCTATCTTTTGAAATTGACAAGAGGTTTTGTGATAAACGTCAGAGATTTAAGTTAAGGACATTCTCAGCAAGAAAAATATCTGCCTATACTGAACAAAATAGCACTTAAACGTTAGATGATCAAAGCGGTTGGTGATAAGGCATACACGATGAGGTCTATTTGACATTAATGAGATATTCTCGTGCACTTCTCACGGCAGTGTATTACAATTATCTAAATGATAGAATCCTCTAGACATAAACGTGTGTCCTTGAAAAAAAAAGTTTGCAAAGTTACTCTTGGATGAACAAGACTTGGCAAAACTCACTTGCGTGTGATGAGAACATCAGTTATCGATTTCCTATTGTTTCCCATTTATAGAAAACCTAAATTGTTCTGCAGTTTTACTAGAAACCCTGGTGCCAATCTTATAAGAGCAATTAC